CTAGGTTTCATCGGGGAATGAGGAGAGATCTGAAGGTCCAAATGCCTCCTCTATTAAAATGGAAATCTTTTGCAAAATCTTCTAAAGAGAGGAAGTCAATGTTTTTCAGTATCTACAATCATGCATAAGATTCCTTCTCTTACATACAGTATTCCCAATTTTTTTTTTTTTTTTTTTTTTTTTTTTTTTTTTTTTTTTTTTTTTTTTTTTTTTTTTTTACTATTTTACTCAGGTCTTTATCCTGTGTTGTAATACCTAGGCATCCCTGTCATTTTCTTTTGTGGAATTTAACTTCATTCTCTACAGAATTGAGCCCCAGGTTTCTTCCCCATTTGTGTCAATAGACTTATTCTTAACAGTGTGCGTTTTTAGGCCTAGCTAAGTATATATGCATAATATAACACATTTGCCTTGTTCAAGATTTCAGAGTTCTGTGACATTTATACCTTGGTTAAGTTCACCTTGGTGGTGGCTAAAACTAAAATCCATTGGTCGCCTCTATCTCCAGCAAGTACGAACTCAATGATTGTACAGAAAAAAAAGAAACTTTTTCTTAATCTTTATTTGAAGATCACTTTTCTTTGAATGCTAAAACCCGCAAATATTTTAATAAATTGTCTTGAATCTCAGCTAGTCTTTAAAAGTCTGATCACCTCATTTGGTTTAAGCTCTAACTGTTAGACACACCAGTGCCTCAGCGGCTGTAAAGATATACTAGCAAGCTGCACAATCGTGGAGGGTTCTTACCTACTATCATATAGCTCATTATTGGATAGATCAAAGTTCACTGAACTGAATAGAACCTTTAATCTAGATTTTCCCTCTCAAACCTCCAAGTGGCTAAGTTCCCTCAGTCTTTGCAATCACAGCTGAGAATTCAGCACGCTCCCTGTGCATTTAAGCTGACAAGGAACTGAATAGAAGCGCAGGCATACAATGAAGCTTGAAGTGGTAGAAAATTGAAATAAAAAATAGAAACGAAAATGGGGGGAGTCTGACATAATAGCTTCAGGAAAATGTTCCTATCTAGACAAGGTAATGGCCAGTCATAAGAAAACAACCTATTAAAAAATGTGATGAGAAATTAACTTAGAGACTGCTGGATGAGTTCAAAACTACATATAGAAGGTATGCTAGCAACCAAACTAATTATAAAAAGTAAACTGTTAAAAATAATTTCAAATTTAAATATAACAAAAAGGGTAATTTAACTCTTAAGCAGAAACCTATTACTTCGACACTAATGCAGAGTAGACAGGAAGGAACCTTGTTTATTTTTAGTGACAAATATAAGATTTTGAAAGTACACTTAAAAAAAAAACCAGTGTAATTTTCTTAAGTTTGGCCAGCTAAAAAGTAGGTATCTCTTACAAAAAAGTGTGTGTCTTTTTCTGACCAATATTTCAAGGGTGATTTGAAATTCGTAACACCAATAACTCACTCTGCAAGTCAGGCAGTGAAGATCTGGCCTCAGGACACCTCTGTGCGAAAATTAATTAACTACACAATACAGAAAAACTGCTACCAGAATAAACATGCAAGAAAGCCACACTGTATACAGCTGATCCTCTGAGAAGGAGAGAAGGACAATGTTGTGCCAAGAGAGACTGCCCTCAAGTGCAATCTTTCTCAGGAATGAAATTCACCCTGTTCTGAGATGTTGGGTAGCAACAAAACCTCCCTGCCTGTTCTAGCAAAAGAGCTAATGAGATTAACACTGGTTTGCCCTGGTTTTGTACAAGCTTTTTGTCTTCTGAATGAAGCTATCTCCCAGCCTGAAGAACAACGGAAGAATAATGGAAAAGGCGAAGGTACGGAAGAGAGAAGAAAAGGTAATTTGTTCCCACTAAGGGCAAATACAATCATGGACTGGGAACACCAGATCAGATGTAACCAGTAGAAAGAAAATCACGGAAATGGACGAAATGGTTGTGGTGGTCTTCAAAATAATACTAGTTTTGTTATTTTCTCTGTCCTTGGGAGGAGAGATATCCGATATATTTATGCTGGTTTGTGACCTGGAAGATTAAGATCCATTTTCTGTGTACTACTCTGACTGCTTGCTTAATTCTTGGTAAGCCAGTTAGAGCTAGGCTTACAGGTACTCACATATTACGAGAAACAGATATACCTAGAAGCTTTAAGGGATTCTTTTTTATCATTTTTATTATTAAAGAGTATTAGTCCATTTGGTTTAACATTTTCAAAAGGAATTGAACAAAAAAAATGTTTAGGTGCTTCTAAAATCCCACTTTACACTTCTGACTAGATCCTTTAGAAGTGTCTCAAAAAAGCCTTTGTTAAATGACGACACAATACCTCCTTATGTCAATGACCCACTGTGAGGACAGATCCATTACTACAGTAACAGCCCTTAACAAGGGATTTATAAAACAAGTATATAGACTAGTTGAAGAGAATTCAGCAAAGGGAAGGCTGAATGCTTCTTTTGCTAAGAGCAATTTCGAAAAATTGCAGAGGTCAAAATGCCCACTTGATGCCGGGAGTGTATTCATTGGCATGGTCTATTGAGATGATTGTACAATTATGTGGGTTTAAGAATGACCTGTGGATATGTTTCCTTTTATTCTGGGAACTCTGCTGCAACTGTACTTTCAAGTTCTGCTCACAGATGCCATTCTGTCAAGTTTACAGCCCCAACCTACCACAGTATTCCATCTGGGCTGCAAAGATCCCAAGTTGGGAACTGCCACTTCCACAGCTTTCCAGCTTTGGCTTAGATGTTAGGTGTCAGCTACAAAAGCAAGTCAATACAGTCCATCCTATCTAGGGATCTAGTACAAGGATCTATAAAAATACAAATTATTCCATGCTCATAAAAAGGTTAGCTTTTTAGCTTTTGTACATCAGTGTTCCATTGATTTCAACAAGCTATTATAATTCATAGAAGCTGAAGATCATCATCTGGTTCCTGGCTTTTAAAACACCTTCTAAAACATCTTTCAGCAAAACTTAATCATCATTTTCACAAAAGAATGATAAATAATGTAGAACCATCTTAACTAGGGCACTTCCACTGGAAGAAAAAATTGGTCATAAAATAATAATCTGACCCAACTTTAAGAAGTTTATACAAATGCATTATGCTGTGCGCTAAACTTAAATATATTATTTAAATTACTTTGGATGAGAGTGACTCAGTAAGCACCAGATCATTCAGAAAGTAGCATGAAGTGAACACAATGGTCTTGCAGTATGTCTGGTTACTGCAATAAACACCAGTTCTCACATCTTATTTAGTGTGAACAGGCTTACAAATAATACCCAAACCATGATTTGTAGGAGGTTTTCACAGTGGGGTATTTTGTTACCATTCCAGGTACATACGCCCAACATGGCCCGTTCCTTCTGAATAATTGCACTACTGCTGTAACCACATTGCCTCTAGGTACCTTCCTTAGGGGTCACTCATCACCACCAGTCCTATCCTGAGGACAGCTCATCCAACACTGCATCTCCGTGGATGATCTGTACAGATCCTGCCTCACCACTACTATCCTTCAAAAGAGGCCTTCAGGCTGACCTCTCTTTTCTCCATGTGATCAACAGTTGTTTTTTGTTTGAACATTCTGACAGTGTGGAAATATACCCAAAGTCAGTCATGTCCCATCTGCACTATTTGTGCACCTCTGAGCACTTGCGTTTGCTCCAAGATCTTTGCGGTCTTTCTGCTACCTGGCTGCTTCACCCCGAACATCTGCTGCAGACAACCAAACAGTGCCACTGGAAAAAATTCAAAATATCTCCTACTGACTCTGAAGTCAGGCTGCCAGGCACAGAAGAAGGTAAAGTCTTCAGCATCTATCTATCCATAGGCCTTGCTAATATCTTAGTTTCACAAAGTGAAATTGCCTCTATATTACTATTTGTCTGAAATGCTCCGAGTGTCCCAACTAGACTGTTTTTTCTTGTCTAACATGTCCCCTCTCTTCTGCACTGGGTGCTAGCAGTTCTAGCATATAGACTAGACTTTTGACAAATTAATTTCTTAATTACTTTCCCAGCATCTGATTGCTGGTTTGGTGAACATCTGGTGTGAAATCAGATGGAAGAGCTACAAATGACTGAGAAGTATGGATATGGTATGTACCCACTAGAAGCCTTCATCTTTTTGTCTCAAAAATCTTTATACCTTTCTCTAAGCAATAAAATGTGAAATAGTTGTACAAAAAATCAGATATTTGAAAACCACACAAAATACAGAGGAAGACAGTATATTAGGAACTGCACAAACTACTGGCACCAAAATTTATTGTGATCTCTCTCAGTATTACTGTCATTCTGTGTATGTACATGCAATCTGAAGAGCAGTGAGAATTGATTTTTTGTTAGGTATGTTGTAACCTACATTATCCGCTTTCACAGTAGTCCACACTTCCTTGCAATGAGCCTTGTTTGAATAAATGCTCTTGCATAGTGGCAAAAGCTGTGCTGGGTCACCTTCAGGCAACAACTGCAAATGAAGTACAACTATTTTCATGGCAACATTCTGCAGGAGTCTCTGACTCAAATTCTTGCAATACTATCCACCAGCTAACATGTTTGGCCAATCTATTATCCTTTTAAGACGAGAGGAAAAGTAATGTCTTCTCTTTTGTTTAAGGTTCCAAATAAATTACCATGACATACTCTGCAAAAGCTGAATGAGAGACTACACAAGTGCCAGTGACTTCAAATTACTTTTAGGGCTAAAACAATCAGTGTTGAACTCCACAGGTTTTTGAGATTGGACAGAGCACACACTCCACTGTAACAGATGACTTAGAGCATTAAATCTAGTGCTGACTGCCAACCAAAGTCACTTCTTGCCCTTCGAAGTGCCATTACCTCAAAAAAAAAAATCAATACAAAATTAATTATACAAGGGAACTTGTGTGGACTCTCTCCAGTGAACTCTGCTGCTTTCACACATAAGTATTTATTGAGCCATTGTAGGTGAAGGATTAGGTGCTGAGCATGTGATGCCAGACAATACTCACAGCGACCGCCTCCAGGATTTGTTTAACAGCATCAGCAGCATCTCGTTCACTGTAGTAACCCTTTTCCACAATCCTACAGAAAAAAAACAACACGGGAAAATTGTGTTCAGGATTATGTATTAAAGTAAAAGCTTCTTTTTGAAAAACGAACTAGAAAACTACCAAATTTCATTATGACCAGGACTCTGGAGTGCCCCCTAAAGAGTAGGAAACAACCCTTTTGCAATTTAGGTTACCTTTGACTCCCAGTGGAGTGAAAAACTGAGATAAAACACCAGCTAAGCAAGAAGCTCGTAATATATACACATTCAGTTGAAAGGTTTTTGAATTTTCTAAAATTTAGTGAATCTGGATTACTCTCAGATAAAACTAGGTATCCTTTAGGAACTTCTGTTCACTTTTTCACTTTTGTATTTAACTTAAGCTTCCCCCCTTCTTATTTATTTAGTTAGTTATTAAACAAAAGCACTGTCTGTCCTATGCCCACACAGATCTGAATTATTCAAGAGAAAGGGTTGGTGTAAACATTTAATAGCTTTTATTTATCCCTGAAGTATAATGGGCTGAACAATTGTCTTTTTTTTTCACCCATCAGTAGAAAATTGGGGGATCAGTGGTCAAAGAAACACGGTCTCATTAAAACTAGAACTACCTTAGTTTTTTCTTCTTAATGTAAATAGATGGCATGTTATGTTTATTTTGTATAGATGACACATAATAACTTCATTTTGTAAATGTGCTGACCATGTGCAGCTTATGGTGAGTCCAGCAGTATTTATGAGTTCTGAAGATCCTGAAAATCCAGTTTTCTTTCTCCCTTTGCTTTTACATCAGTTCAATCTTGTAAAAACAAACAAATACGCAACTTCCTTCTTTAATAACGTAATCTCCCTGGAACCTTACCATGATAAAAACATTAGGAAAGAAAACATTTTTCTGTGTTAAGATAATGTTCTGAAGTGGTGTATTTCAACATGCTTTATGCTATCCTGCATAGAAATGGCAGCAAGGGTTAATGCAAATTTCTGGGTTGGCCCAGAAAAAAAAAAAAAGCCCAGTTGTGATACTACAACTCTTTTAGGACACCAGCAGTGGCACAGGGCCTGGGGGCTGACTCGAGATTTGCATCGCATGTTCTCTGAGAACTGCCATTACAGAATGAAATTATCTTAAAGGTCTTTTCCAACATAAACGATTCTATGATTCTGTGATTATATAAATGCACAGTTCAGTTAAACAGTCAGCAGAAGATACAGATTTGCACAATGGCATATGAGAAATTAATAAAAGAAGGATCTATCATTAACACGTACTAATGCTCCCTTTAAGAAACCCAGCGGTCTTTTTACTGCTGTATCTAACTACATACAGTATTTGTGAACTACAATGATTCTCCCTTAGAGAGTCACCTTAAAGGTCAGATCTTTGACCTGAAGTTTTTGATTTTTTACTGTATTCATTTTTCAAAGCCCAAGAAAACATAGACAGATGTTGTCTAGAAACAGAACCTGTGGTGCCTATTACACATTTTATAAAATGATCTCCTGCAAGCATACAAGCCAGTTTTACAAAACAGTGACCTAAAATCACGATGAAGCAGAAGAGCAAGAAGCCTACGATGTCTGAAGTCAAAAGTCACTGGAAAGACCTTCTGGCTCAGGGTCCAGAAACAGACTCTGCTTGTGACAAGAAGGGTATACTCCTTTCTCCCCACTTCCCCTGTTTTCCTCTATCTTTTTATCATTCTCCAAAATACCAGACTCGTTGAGCTGCCTTCAACGCAACTCCTTACAGCTTTACGAAAGCTGACAGGAAAGGTGTTGAGTAATGTACATATGCAAAGCATTACTACATACTCATTAGAAGATTAAGTGCACTAAGAAACAATACAAAGATGATAATCCACCAGAGACAGATGTAACAAGCGTGGCACTGCAGAAAATATTCCCTAAAGGGATATTCCTAACCAGCTGCAATTACTTTACCTCAGCATTCATTGTATTCGCAGATAACTAAGTCTATTCATCTGGCGCTGGTAACAGCAAGCAATCCCTCCCAAGCAGAAGTTCTATTTCACCATGATTTCTTTCTTTCATGATTTCACATACGTGACTCAGATCAGAGAAATACACAGCAACACAGTTACAATTCAATTTACATTTCTCCCTTCACCCAACAAATTTCTAATTTTACAGTATGGTAACCCGGCATTTGGGGTATCCTTTATTTTTCAAACAGATAAACCTGGGTGGAAAAAGAAAAAAAGACATCTCTTAAATACAGCCAACTTCTTTGTATTTTCCTCCGCTCAACATAATCAAAGAAAAGATGAGGTTCTTAGCTTCCTGTCAATGCCCAACCAATGCAGGAAAGAAAACCACCAATTACTTGACCCCTTGGAAACAAGAGTGATCAAGGAGAAGCTCAAGACTGCCCTCACGATCACAGCATGTAGAAGACACAGCCCACCTTCACTTAGACAACTATACGTTGGTATGGATAGGATATCGCTCTCATTGTTTACATTAAACACAGAAGAAGCACACAGACATGGAAGATGAAGCTATTGTGAATTTATACTTTACAGTAAATAAATGTAATAAAATGTGGGCCTGTATTTCAGGGGAGCAATAAAAAAAACAACTGTAGAATTATTGTACAGTGCACATGACTCATCAGCTGATGTTACAGGTGAATAACATGCACGGGCAAGCTAATTTCAGCTTGCGTCACATCCAGTTAACTTTCTAGTTCTTCAGAAGTCTAGAATCCAGACTCTATGAGAATGCAAACCTAATTATTAATTAATAATAATCTAGCAAGTTGAAAACCTAATCTTCTGTAACAGCAATAAATGAAAAAAAAACTTCTTGCTAAAGATGAAAATTTATTTCTCAGGGCACACTACTTTAAAACTAAAACCTGGCTATTAGGCAGTAAGGAAGACTACTGAAAGAAGATTATTGTGTAGTTTAGGTCCTGTAATAATGCTGGGGGATCATTTGCATATCTATTTTTTGCGTCCTCCCTGCGATAGTTTACATAAGACAAATGGTAGGTGTGCCAGATTGCTTTATTGTAACAAAACTCCTACCTGAGACCAATGAAGCTTCTTTACAAGGGTTTTTCAATTTCATCTTAACAGATTAACAATGACTCATTGCCCTTTTTTCCACAATGGGAAGGAAACCTGCAGAAATGTCTTATTTTTTTATTATGGAAGCAAACCCAATTATTTATACCTAGTTTACAGAATGATCTTCAAGAAAAGTATGGATGAAGAAAGATTAAACCTTTGTTGAGAGGACAGAAAGACAGGAACAGTAGCAATAAGGAACTAATTAAATACTCTCTTTGATATGCAAATGAGAGATCCAGGTAGGCCAAAAGAGTGCTGGAGAGAAAATCTGGGACGAAGACAGAAGGGAATCCAGAACAAGGGATACAGAAATGCTTAAAGTCAAAGTGGAAAAAAAAAAAAGCTTGGAAAACCGCTGAATTTGGTGTTGCAAACACCCAGGAAATTCAAGACAGTGCTTCAAATCGAAGATAACATTCTAGAGCAACCAAAAATGCAATGTTGATTAAATAAACGATTCATATTATAATTGCATTTGTGTAGAATCACTTTTTCATGCTTGTGTGAATGTATTTGAGACATATCCACCTGTTTCTACAAAGAGAAGCAGGGAAGTGTTTCTCAAAGGCCCCTCCTCACTTCTTCCCACTCCCTCCGGAGATGGAGATGCCCCTTGGGAACAGCCCCACTCCCCCCTGGTGCTGAGGCGCACCCCTGCCTGCCTGCAGGGTCCAGTCACCTGGCAGAACCCACCCCACTGCACCCCCTGACCCAGAGCCCATGGCCGCCCCACCAAAGCCACGATAACGTCCTCTCAGCTGCTGCTGAAGCTCAGAGGTGGAAAAGCTTTGGGCTGTCAGGCAACGGAGCTATGAAAAATTGAGTACTGAGCAAAACCACCCTTAGCATCACACCACCCAGCAAGCCTGTGGAAATGGTATACTGCATTTCTTGTGATCAGTGCTCTCTTATACACAGCAGGCAGTTGAAATTTGGCAGCTTCCATATGATTGTCAAGCACATGCATGCATTCAAGTGTTTAATAATTTGCAGTAATGCTTGCCAGCTTCCATCCAGCCTTTCTAGCATTTCCGTTCCTTCTGAGCACTGCAAGTTTTCTGGCAGTACAAATCCTTTAGTTTTGTAGGCAGTTTTTGGTGTAGCCTCTGGACATCCACTGTGCCGCTCTACCACAGAAATGCAACGTTCTCTATGTTGCTTATAATGTTTCCATTATGCACATCTTCATCAGAGTCTACATCAGCAGAAGCATAAATTCTTACCAGTGTTCACCATAATTCTGCAGCCTGCAGTATAATCTGGGAAGACTGTACACTGGATTTGACTCCTTTTGGGACATTCTTCTTAGCACTTGGTATTATTAATCACATCTGTACAAAGTCATGGAAAGCAACGGGATATCACAGTAAAGGGAGGGAAGTAGTGGCCACACTTGCTCTGCAGAAACTTTATTACTGGTAGGAAAAAAATAAAAGGAAGAGTGCAGTCCTGCTAAACTGAACTCACTTGATCTGAAAATCGATGAGAAAAGAGATGGGGAATCCTGACATGTCATTTTAGAATCAATTTTCAGAGCAGTATTAAAATTATATTGATATACAATTTTACGGTTGACTGGAATACACGTATCTAGGGATTAATGACAAGCATGTTAGGCAACAAGTGGAAACAATCAATCTCCTACAAAAACAAACAAGTGAATATTTCATCACAGAAGGAAAGGACTAGGCTTCGGGTTTGATTTTTCAATGAGTAACAAGGCAGAGGGCTAGATCTTTCCAAATACAGCAAGAGAAACAGCTGTTTGCACAGCTGCAGTGGTAAAAAAGGAATCAAAACCACCCAGCAACCCACTTTGAACGAGCAGTGGGCTCATCCAATGCCCCAGAGGATGCTAGACTGGGATAGCCACGGATGGCACGCACCTCTTCATGCAAGACTGCCAATAACTTGAATTCTCAGTCAGCCCCAGC